GCTGATGTTGGCAGGTGCTTATTTAAAAAGAGGTTATTTAAAGGTCCTGTACAGAAATCTATGTTTGTGACTTTGTGCCCTAAGGTGTGTTATTCCCTTTGCTTTGGGCAACCCTTCTCAGTCTTAACAAATAATGGTGTAGAAGAGAAGGGGGATTAATATCCAAGGTTGATCTGTCAATTTATAGATAAACACAATTTTTTCCTTTTTTCTTTTATAAAAGTTCAATGGTGCTTTAATAAAGAAAAGTAAGGAACAAACAGGCTAAATTTAAAAAATGTTTGTTGCTAAATGTACAAAAGCAATTAAAAAGACCATCAGTTCAAAGGAAAATGCTTGGCGGGGAGGGGGGCTGATGTGTTTTGTTGTTTTCAAGAGTCTGGCTGTTTTAAGAAGGCCTATGACAAGTATAAGACTAGAAACGAACCTGTCAATGAACAATGCTAAAAGAAATAGTTTCTCCTGCTTCATCCATTTTACTAAATACATAAACTTAGTGAAGTTTATGTAAACCTAAAAAACAGAAAAATTTTTTAGTGCAACATGTTTTCTGGTACTGAATAGTTTTACAGTAGAAAAACTCATCAGGAAAAAAACAATTGTGTTTTGTTTAGTAGAGTGAATAACTACTCTTTGAAACATTTCCTCCCCCCCTTTGTGTCAGTAGCTTTTTAAGACAGGACAAATTACATGGGCTAATTACTGTGATCAGGAGATGGTTTAGGATGTTCTAATTTTAGTACCTGAAAAGACTGTCATCATTTAGGAAACTGTGTGTGGTTGTCAGGGAAAGAACAATATTGTATCCGTATCAAAACAGACGATAGTCTGAGTTCCAGTTGCAAGATGGGGGTGTTGATGGGTTTTGTCATTCTCTCCTGCAGAAGAGAATCAGCAGAGAACTGCCTTGGTGTGTTTATTTTGCAGCAGCTATTGCACTTTGTCTCTCTGTCTGCACAGTTACACCTGGAATTTAAAATAAGTTTGCTGGTTATTCATACCAAATCGGTATAGATAGTGCAGCCAAGGCAGAGATACCCTGCAACTTGCTCTGAAGGCACTGAGAGTCAGCCTTCAGCCAATAGCTCAAATTGTTGAGAAAGAAACATAAGGCAGAAAGAAGTATTACACCTAGAAATACAGAAACATGTCACCTGTAGGAATCCTGTTTGTATACCTGAATCAATAGGGCAGTATTTATATCTTCACATTGGGCTCCAAAAGAGGCATTTTTTAGTTTTTTCAAAGACCTTTCCACCACTGAAATGCAATCTTTCTTTCTTTCAGTTCTCCACATCAGCTGTCCTCGGGGAGATATTAGCAGTGATAAAGATCAGGCAAAGCATTCTAGGAAGTTATTGTTGCTTTTTTAAGAGGTAGCGTTTTCATCAGGTTAGCCTCTTAGTCCTTGTGGGAAGGGAATAAAGCACAAAATAAATAAAAAAAAAAATTCTGAAAGCCTGTCTTTCAAGTAAAAATATTCTGTACCAGCACACTAAAGCTTTCCTGATTCCTCAGTCACAATAATGGGAGGATAAGTGCCTGTGGATGAATGTCAGCTACATCTGAACACTGATTTCTGGAGTGGTTCAGATGCTGATACTGTAGCTCTGCATTTAATTGCACTTTGAGGTTTTCTCATCATTTGCAACATAGAACTCATTTCAGAGGCAGAATTGCACATAGGGGAGCAATCTCCATTGTTCAACGATCAACTTTGCGAAGAACACTTTGTAACAGGCAAGACAAAATAGTGATAGTAGGATGTAAGGATGCATACATAAAGATCACTCAAAAAATTTAAATCCATATCCACATGCCAGTGTTCTACAGGAGAGGAAAGCTAGTACCCTCTGTCAGGATGGTTGAACTGAAAGGAACATTCATGCAAAAGTGTTACTGGAAAAATACTGTGTCCTCCTAAGTGAGGTGTCAAGCAGGCTGAGATCATGAAAACCACCTGGAAGCAGTACTTAAAATGCTGTCTCAACATAGTTTTCTATACCTAACGTGTGTCAGCCATTCCAGAGTTAATCTGCAAATTAAAAACTTACTAACATATATTAATAACTTTAAGTGGCTCTATGGAATATAGTTCATAGATTCTGGAATAGTTTCTCTAAACAGCATTCCCAAAATAAATTAGTATGATTTACTTTGAATTTGCATTTCACAATTCTGTCAATAATAGTTAAATTAAGAATTTAATTTTCACTTTAAGAATTTAAATTTCTTCCTGTCTGTGATGACATCTCATGTTCCTACTTTATGGGAGGTTAAATTATTCTGCCTCTTTGATAGGTTCATTATCAGTCAAAGTTAAAGCGACTGAAAAAGAGTTACCAGTAAAAGCTTAAATTTGTTTAGTAGCAAAAACTAAATGTTCCAATATTGCTTTGCAATTGTTCCTTTGTCAAACTGGGAGAAAGGGTATAATCATGAAGATGTATGTTGTACAAATTGTCTGTGATAGCTTCAGAAAAGGGAAATACAGGAACACTTTTTTATTATTATTATCTTTTTATTTATTTAATTTATTTGTATGGAATGTCAGGATAAAATACAGTTATATAGAGACAACCCATGAACTATAGAAGTAAAACCATTTAGTAATACTTTGGCAGGCAGTAGTCCAGGTTATTTTATTTTACATCTCAGTGTGATAACGTTAGATCACACAGTCTGCAGAGGAAGTGTGATTTAGTGATCTATTGAACACTGAATGATGCAGAATTTCTCTACTTATATTACTTTTAAAGGAATTCCTGTGGAACAGAAGTTTGTTACTTCACCCATCATAAATATATTCTGTGTTTACTCTTTGATATATTTCCTTACATGTTATGTATTCTGTATCAATATAGTGTAGTGTACATTGGCATAATGTCCTGCACTTACTATGTTTCCTGTTACCTGAACATCTCAAATTATTATTTAAACACTGACCCTTGCAAGTATCATGTAATGTGAATAAGCTTACTATTTCAAACAAACAGACACTCAAAATATGATTCATTACAAATTACGCAACAAACACTACAGCTGAAGAAAAACTGTTAGTCAAACGCATGGACCTTCTCCAAACACTGCATTCCTTGTGTTGTATGGGATTGGGATTCTTAAATATATTGGAAGAGTTCTTCATTCAATGACACCATTATTCTCATACCTCAGCATTTTCTCTTCTTGTTAGATTCCGTAACATCATACCCAGTTTTATAGATTTTGTATGTATATCACAGTACAGATGCTGACTTTTACTTAATAACGCAATACCTTGCTTATGAACTTTAAGATCACACACACAAGATTTCAGATAACTTAATTTCCCAAATTTTACTCAGTTTTATTCTTAATTTTTAGGCTTTCTTTTCTCTATTCTAACTTTATAATTTTCAAGTAATTGGACAGCGAAGTAGAGTGAAACTTATTGATACACTGGAGAGCTGTCAATGTAGTTGAGATTTTATTGCATATTAGATGTATCAAAATTTAAAATACAAAGTACTAGATATTTTCTGGTGGGTGTATTAGATTTTAAAGAATTAAAAATATGGTAGCTATTATGAGATTTGGCTCTTTGGGAGGACTTTGTTTTTTTTCTTCAGAAATGTTTGTCCTTGCCTATACTCCAACTTACTCTCCTTTTCTCCATTTTACTTATATGCTTGTCAAAAAACATTTTAGTACCACTTGAAAGTTTTTTGTTTCATTTCTTACTTCAACTACTGTACTAGGTTTCATGTTAATATCATTACTTACTAAGGAGTACAACTTCTTTGTGACAGCAAACAGGATTTGAAATAGAGATTAGCATTTAGAAATTTCATGGCCACCTCTGGTAACTTCATGTTAAGTTACAACTCGAGAAATTATAGCTCCTAAAATCTATCATCTGTCTAAATAACTATAAAGCTAGACAGGAGATATATCTAAAAATATACAGATCTCCACAGATTCATAGACTAAGCATGGTTGTGCATCAATTGCATTCATTCTGCTTTAAGTAACACAATTTGATTTTTTGCTAATCAAATGCCTTTTATTTTCTGAACTAAAAAAAATACTAATTACCATGTTGAAGTTAAACAATTATGCAGGTAATACAATAGTAGTAGCATTGACAGACTTGTGTTAATGAGCAGTATGTCATGCTTACCTGCTCACCTTTCTAAATCCATATTTAGCTCAGGCTCCATGCAGAAAAAATTGGTGAGTACATGTAACACCAACATTGCACATGAATGTTGATAGAAGACAGATATACTGGGTTTTTTCAGCACCATGCTGAAACTGCTGAAGCCGTTAGTGTTCTTGCTCAATATATTCTTTAGATCTTCCCCAAGGATAAGATAGCTTTTATATTTTAAAATTGTATTTTTCATTGTGACTGATAAATTACAACAAAGATACCTATCATATTAAAAAAACAAAGACAAACCAAAATCAACCCACATCCAAAACCACAACCCTGCTCCCCAAACTTCAGTGTTATTGGAGTTTAAAGTGCTGAACACAATCTCCAAAGGTTTCACATCAAAAACGAATAATTCATCATACTGTGTAGTGACCAGAAACTATTTCATGATTTCTAAAAATAAACAAGTTTTCCCACTGTATTGTTAATGACAAATAAGAAAACAATCTTGGATTAAAACAAATTGTAATTTTTTCTGTGTGGGTTTTTTGTGTTTGTGGCCTTGGGTTTTGTTTGTTTGGGTTTTAATTGTGCATGTTTCAGTCATAATACTTTCAAAGATATACTTTTTGCTTAATTTTTTTTACCACATGAATTCCAGTAAATAGTTCTCAGGAGAAAAGTTAAAAAAGGAACCCTACCTGCAAGACATACAGTGCAAGTTCTGTAGCTAATGTATCTGCAAACTTATCTTCACTGGTACATGAAAAATACATAGTGCGTTTTTGTTGTATTTTGATTAAATTATTAAGACTTGTTTTCTTCTTAAGAGTGCTGCATTTGACAATTTGTACTTGCGCAGGGTTTGTGAGCGTGAAGCTGCACTGGAATCGGCTCTAAGAATGTTGCAACAATTCTACCTGGATCTTGAGAAGTTCCTTACTTGGCTTACAGAAGCTGAAACAACTGCAAATGTCCTGCAGGATGCTACACACAAAGAAAAGGATGCCAAAATGGCTCGGGAGCTCATGAAACAGTGGCAAGTAAGTCAGGCACCTCAGTTTAGCAACTTTTTTTCCAATTTTTTCCAATTTGTAGCTACTCGAATAAACTGAAATTGTTTTGAAAAAGAGAACTGATTCTGCTACTAACCTTCACGTGTTGCTTCGGAAATTGTTGCAGGAATCTTACATGAGCCACACCATGATTTTGTCTGACATCTTTCAGTATATAACACCTTTGAAAAAGTGTCTTGAAGTGCAACTTTTAAAATGTACAAAAAGGAATGTTTGCTGAAATAGGCATTTGGATTATAATTCCTTTTTTTTTTTTTGTCACATAAAAATGAATTACTCTACCGAGCTACAGTTTTGATTTGAGCACTTGACAAATATGAAAGTTTATTAAGCATTTCTGATATTGATAGAAGTCATATAAATCACATTAAATTTATTCTCTGTAGCTTAATTGAATTAGTTTTTCTCCATTACTTTCAAATAAATGAAAAATGTTAATTTGGTATTTTGCTGATTATTTTCAACATGCTCTGTTGCGATAATAAAAAGATGTAACGATTAGAATTTTCATAGTTAACGGCTGGACAGTTTGCAAACAGTTTTGGGTTGATTTTTTGGTTTTTTTTTTTTTTTTGAAACAAAAAATCCTAAGAGAATGTTGTATTTAGTGTTTGGAGAATCTTGAAGAGAAAGAAGAATAATCAGTTGAGATGATGCTGTTGAAATATACTGTTATGTTTTCGCCATTCTTTCTTCACTACAATTTCTGAGAGTAATACACATATGTCTATGTGAGGTCTTAAAATTCCTTTAATGAAAGGTTGATTAGCTGTCTGGGAGGCAGGACCTTTTATTCCAGTATCCTTGATAGTGTCTGACTTTTATGTTGACAGAAAGTTCAAAACTGGAAATTCCAGGCACTGAAGGCTCTATGCCTTAATTTATTTATGAAGAACATACTTTGAAAAAATTTAGTTATAAGTGATGATGTTGAATAAATACCACTGGATGGAAATAATTCTTTTGGCACTGCTGTTGTAATATGTGGTTTTAACTGTTTAATGAACAGCTGCTAAATCCTATTATGTTGTACTCTTAAATCTACAGTTGTTGCACAAGACAAAAGTGAAGTCTGAATCAGATTTTTAATAGTCATCCATCATTATGCTGATTTAATTTTATAGTAATATAAGTCCTCATGTGTTTCTGAATTCAGTTGCATGATCCTGGAGAGCAGATGTGAATGGAAGGTAGTTCTAGACTGAGTGGTTAATAGGCTTTCTTTTTATATTCTCTACATTAGGTTTTTTATTTGTAATGGTATAAAACAGTAGAATTATTAAGTATTTGAAGAATTTATTTTTCATGTGATCCTTGAAAAATGGATTATTTGGCAAAATAAAATACCTATAAATTTAGGTCAAGTGCTTCAATTTTAATGGTAGTGGAGCTTTGGAGACCTGGTATCTTGGGGTTCTTTAATTTCCACATAAGAACCATTCAGAACTATAGACAATAGGAAAAAAAAATGCATACAAGTCCTTCCCTCCATAAATAATTAATGAAGTATATAAGTATAAAGCAGTGTTTTGATAAAGAGTTCTCTACACAAATAATGAAAACCCTAAATTTCTAAGTTCAGTAGTAATTTCTGCTTTACACTCTCAAGCTTTAATTTTTAATATTTTTTTTATTTTTTTTTAAACAGCTAGGAAAATAATGGTTCTGCTGTGCAGAAAGTGCTTCTTTTGGTTTTCATGATCAGTAACCATTAACTTAAATGTCACTAATAAAGATTAATCTCCCCTGCTACTTTGCAGTTCATTCAGTATCAGAAGAAGGGTGAGGCTTATATAACTGCATATTCTAATTGCCCGATGGTGTAATTGTATTAACTGTTACATTATAAATACAGTTTGTTTATGTAAACATGTATTTGCATGCATCATTTGTCTGAACTGACAGCAATGTAATAGTTGTGGTGATTTGTAAAGTTAGAACACTTTCTAGAGAATACTCTCTAGAGAATACTCAAGGGTACAAACCAGCTACTCCAAGGAGTTGCGTAATTGCATGCTGCTTTTCATTGTCTAGTTGAAATACATCATGTGTCCCCATGAGGCCTGGTTTGATGAGTAACCATATGAGGAAAATGAAAATAATTAATTTTACTTTCTGCTTTTGTACTTCTAGTGATATGAACTCTCAACTGTGTTAATTACTCCTCGGGTCTGTCTTTTTAGCCATAATTGTATGTGACATTTTGTACACCTTATGTAATATTGGATATAATTTTGAAGCTAATGTAGATTTATTCTGATAATTTATGAATGTAATCATTGAGTATTAAGCCCAGATGAATTTAATCACAGGTTTTCTTTCCGCTGAAATTTGACAAAGAATATCACATGCCTAGTTCAGCAATAACTGGAAAATGCTTCTATACTATATATATATAGGTTACCAAATGTATCTGAAATAATTTATGATGACTGATGAATTATTGGTAGTGTAGACTGACTGAAATTATGACAGCATATGATAAATGAAGCAATGTTAATAACGTTGGCATGAAATACACAGCAAATTTATTTTTATTACAAACTTCATGTACACTTAGCCTGTAACCTAAGTAGTTTTCCTTTAGATGCAGGAGTTTGGCTGCTAGTAATATAAAAAGGATGCAGTGCCTTCCTTATATTATATCTAAGAATGAATAAGGTGGGCAATACCCACATTTTATCACAGTGTTGGTTTTATCTAAAGCAAGGCACTCTTGTCTCTTCTATTCCTATACTTCAAAGATGCTTGTTTATTTTTAAGGAGATCAAGCAGCTGGATATTTTTCAATTGTAAGAAGTTGAGGTAGCTCCACGTTCCTGACTTTTCTTGATTCTTTAACAGTATAGTTTCTTTGAGAGACTAAACTTCTTTCCACCTTTAATTCAAGTATAATTTACATTGAAAAGTGAATAATCAATAAAAACTGTTTGCAAAAGCCCCAATGGTAGCTTTTAATATACTCTTGTGATGAATTTGAAAGGATATCTGTGCCTTTTGCAATTACACCTCACACCAGACTATTCAAAACACGTGGCTGAAGCGCACAGAATGTATATTTTTTTTTCCCAAGGCAGGTAAAAAGAAAAAAGCTTGTATTGTGATTATTAGCATGTTAATATAAAAAGGATAAATTAAATGGTGCATAACTGAGGAAAAGTATTTATTTTGGCTTAGGGCAGATATCTTCCTGGATATGTAGAAAGGTAATGATCTACAAAGAATACAAATAAGAAACAAAATCACCAATGCTTTTCAGACAAGTTCTACCTGTTTTGTGAAAGGTTTTTAGACTGTACCGGAAGAATTAAGAAATTTAAGAAATGCTGCAAACTTTTATTAGGAGTATATAGCCACCACAGCACAGGTTTTCTGCATGTGAATTTACATCTTTCCACTATCCTAGCTCTCTAGCTCTTCTGTTATGCACTGTGCAGCGGTTGTACACCATAGCAGAGCAAATCCCACTACCTAAACTGTCTGTTTGACAAGAATAGCTTTGCCTATACCATCACCAAGTTCCCCATTTGATTTTCTGTCAGAAGTTTAGACTGACTTTCTTTCAGCTGTTGAAAAGACATTGAATCTTTTCAGTCAGTACAAAGTTGCAATTGTGCATTGATCCTTTTGTGCCACATTTTTATTTGAATTATTTATTTTCATTGGATACCATTTCATTTTGCATGTTTTCTCTTGGGTGCCTGTTTTCAGTTTGTTGGTGGTCACCATGTAAACTGCCATTTATCCCACATATAAAATGGAAGAATTTTTTTTTTGTTAGTGTGATTAGTAGTACTGAAGTATTATTGCAGACTATTTTGTAATGATTCCAGTGAGTTCATTACCTGCTACCACTGAAAATATTAGCAACTTTCTGGAGGAGGACCTTTGTCCTCCTTTGTGGAAGTGCTCTAGTTAATGTTAGGAGATTCTAAACTGATGTTCAAGATTTTCCTTTGAGGAAAAATATGTGTTGTTTGGAAGTTCTGGAAAGTCGTATTTAAATTATGATTACTTCTCATAGAGTTGCTACATTTTCTGTCAATAAAGTTAACTAGATTTGGACTTTTCTGAAATTCTTGGTATAATAAGTGCAATTTCAGACTTATAATATTGTAACAAAAATATAGAGCTACTTAAATGTGTATTAGTATGCTTTCTAGTGTTTATAATTTCTATTTTTGTGTTGTCATTTCCAATTTTGTGTATATTTTTTCTATGTGTGGGAATCATCTGATGTTATGATATCTACCAAGTACTCTAAAATAGCAGTATTATGCTGCTTAGCATGAAATTGAATGACATTATTTAGAGTCTATGGCACTTGAAATCAGATGTAGGCTCACATAAATTCTATTATATAGGTTCTTCTGTTTTTTTTATTTTTATATATATTATATATTATCCTTCATATCTATTCTCAGCTGGTTTTAGGATTATACAGTTTCAGATATCCTGTTCACCTTGTGAGCTACGCGTTTTTTCAAATAACCGTGTCATCTGTAGATTTTCATTAGGTGAAGTTAGCAGGATGTATCTTTAAGCACTGGTACAAGCAGACACAAGCTCTGCTACTTGTATCCAGGTATCGGTTAATTACTAACCAGATTATAAAAATCCAGTAATGTCATCTTCAGTGTTGTGTCTGCCTTTACATTTTCTAAAGGGCATGTAACCAGTCTTTTGTGTATCTGCCACCTGTCCTTACTGGAATACTGCAAGTAATAGGGTGGAAGAGCCAGGTGCTGATACCTCTTTTTAGATGTCAAAAGTGTAAATGTGAGCTAAGTGTTTAAGTTCCCACTAAAAGTCAGTGAAATCTAGAAAGCTGTTAGTCTGGACAAATGTAGCTATCCCATTGTCTCCATCTCACTAGCAATGCAACAGCAGCTTGTGTTTGTATCTCCTCACACCAGGAGATGTTTCTGAACTCGTGTTACTGCAAGTTTGTGCCACTCAGCTCAGCT